GATCCGTGTCGATCAAAATAAACAATTCTATTGGCTTTAGGTCACGTGATGGACACGGCTTTAGACGACCCCCATATCGCGGAATACTCCTGACTGTAGTATTGAGAGTCCAAGTTTACAGTAATATTGCCACTATGTAATCTCATTAAATAAGTTGTTGCGAATGAATTATTAGAAAAATAGAAGGAATACAATGAATAAATAATGTATCTTTTCATATTAATCCAATCGCATATGTCACTTGAAATAGAATAACGAACTTTCAATAAATCTCATTTCTTGGAATCAACAGTCTTCTTCGCAATAATTGCATTTTTGGCGCGACGTTTTTTCTACCATGTTTATTAGATTCACGAACATGAAACATTTGCTTTGAAGAATTTTTGATTTTTTTGATGCTAGCAATCATAAATACTAAATTACGCAATCAGATCAAATTACGTTATAATGTATTAAAACATTTTTTAACAGATTTAAATCAAACAAACATGATTTTTAAGATCGCGTTTTAAATCATTTGCCATCCCTAAATGTGACATACAAGATCCAAAATGATTGGCTAAAGTCATTAATTCTATCGGTATTTTATTATACAGTATATGTGTATATATATATATCAAATATATGTAAATTTATTACAGCAGTGTACAAATAGAAATTGCCACGGTCATATAGTATAGTTACAGAAAACAAAGATTTTCATTTATTAATCTCACAAGATCTGATTCATTTTTAATAGGTTTATGTTTGATAAACATATTTTTTTGAAAGAAAATTTATTAGTTTACACGTAGTGTTTATACGTACAGGGTATAATTTATTGAATTACAAATTCGTGTAACATGCCAATCGAAACAATTTTTACAAATAAAAAATTAAACCCTCGCTTATGGTTAGGTTTGGATTGGGGAGAGGTATAGTTTATACCAAAATTTCACAAGGAATTTGTTTTTAGAAGCCAAGAGGTGGTTCCATAATCAAAATTTTGAGATATCTATATTGCCCGTGTACAAATAGAAATTCTCTATAATTGTATACTATATAATTAAGTTGGTAACTAAAGATATTAATTGCGCGAGCCCTATTGGTGAGGTTCTTTTTTTTTTTTTTTTTTTTTGTTTGTTTGTTTGTTTGTTTGTTTGTTCAAAAAATACATTGTCTTGTACCAGTTATTTCTTTCTCATGCACCTTGGTCAAAGATTTGGTGCGAATATAGCAAGTGTAAACTCAATAATTTTTGTCGCGACTGACGTTGAAAATTGATTTATTATATATATAATATGAAATTTTAGAAGCATTTTTTAGGTTACAGTATATTAGGATTCATGATAAGTTATTAATAAAAAGTATATGTGAACCTTAGTAGTGTGCGTTCAAAGAACATCTATCAAAAGATCGAACCTATTTTTATTGGTTAGATCATGTGTAACCCAAAAAAATCTGGATTAAGTGCAAAAATTTAGAAAATGTTGGAAAATTTTATTTCCAAAAATTTACGTGTCTATATATCATTTAAACATTTCTTTTTATTCATATGGGTTTGAACCCGGACCAATTTTATATATGACGTAATAATATTTTGGTCTGGATTCAAAAATAATCACCCATATCGATATATACTCCGTCAATAACCACTCTTAAAAATAAACATCACCTGCCCGATTATAGATTTTCCCATTATTAAACCTATTAATATTTTTATGTCATTCAATCTGAAATCTTTACTCTTAGAAACCTACGTATTAACTGTCCCATTACGTATGTACGTACTATTTTACTCTTACCTTATTTAGATATATTACCCTTATACCGTCAGCGAAGCGTCATGTACTAGTCAAATATTTAAGTCTTATTACTTGGCGACACCTATATCGATATGTAATAAAAGTATTGCTATCATACGTAATACAATAAGCATGGTTTATTCAAAGGTATATATATATATTATAACAGTAATTAACCAAAACTTTTTTTATTATAGAAATTTATACATAAGAAAAAAAAAACATTAGATAGAAAACCTTTTTAAATTTCTAAATTAGAGAAAGAAATAAAAAAAACTTGACGTAATATCCAAACAAATTTTTTTTAAACAAAAAAAAAAAGGAATACCGATAATTATATAAAGTTATATTTTACTACTATCATTCAAAATAAAATAAAATACGTAAAATAAAATAGTCTGGCTTTTTTCACACTATTGTAGTGTGTAATAATACGACGATTAACAGTAATAAAGTAAAATGCACATGAAACTATTGTACATTGAACTTGAAAAAATAATGTATTTTTAAAAGTTTTAGAGTTTGCCCTGCAAAATCAATTCTATACTATTGTTAATAAACTCTTTTCGATATGACATGTCCATACCAAAAACTATTGAGAGTTGTTCTCGAACTATTTATAAGAAATACAATTATAATTAGAATCGATATATTTCACCAAGAGTAAATCAATTAAAAAAGACCTAAAACATACCTTGTTTCTTTGTAATATTCATTAAATTGGCTGTTTGTAAAATATTTCGAATTTCCATTAAAATTTCTTCATCCGTCGGCCCATCATTGGCATATGAACCTGCGTATGAGCCTATAGGTCCTTGTGGTGGATAAATTTCCATTTCTGAATTACTTCTTGGTACTGATATAATTGAATTTCTATAATCATGATCTCCTATTGCGCTGAAAGACCTTGAATTTCGACTATCGGATGGAGCATATCTTGGTACAGGTGATCTTGATCTACCACGTCGATCTGCAGGCGCCGTTAAATTAGTGTCACGATAATAGTCTCCATCATGATTGCTACCACCGTATTGACTACCAGTTTCATAATTTCTATGACTACCATGGCTTCTATATGAAGTTGCACTATGCCTTGAATCATGCGATTCGGTAGTTCCCACTTCCCACATCTCTTGTTCATAATCTGCCCATTTCTTCTTCGGTACCATACTTTCATCGAATTTTTCATCATCGGTTGTTATGATTTGTTTTTTTCCTTTTTCACCAACAACCACGCGAGTATTACCCCAACTGAAATCATCAAAATGCCAGAATGCATAAATCGGAATAAAGAATGAAAACAGTGGGAATGCTAGCAAGTAGATTATCATCCAACCAATATGCTGCCATTGTCGTTTAAGAATGAAAATAATCGCTTGTAAACCATAAACTGCTGCCAACATAATCAACGCAATCTTTGGTAAATCTTGACGTTTGGTAACAACAGCATAGATAAGATAGCCAATATATATTGTGGTGGATGGAAGAATAAGTGTACCGAAAAGATCAATAAAGACCACGAATCTCATTGAAAAACAGCAAAAACCACACATTTCCGGTAAGAACATAAGTTCCATAAGATTATGAATAGTGGAATTAATCCAACGACGTCGTTGTGAAAGTAAAACAGACCATCGATCAGGTGCTGCAGTTTTACACATAGCATCTGGTGTAAATGTCATCTTATATTGAGGGAAATGTTTCATCATTAATGTGGTAAGATAACGATCTTCACCAAGTGACAACAAATTCTTCTTATGTAAAGTGTCCACATGATTCTCTGAATATTCATCGATTACAGTATTAGATATGATCAATGGAGTATTCTTTACAGGAGTACGAATACGATACATGCAGAAACAACCAGGTAAACAAGTAACAGATCCAAAAAGTGATTCGAATGCTTTAGCAAGATGGTGAGAAATATAATATTCGTAAACTTGAATCATAGTTGTCCATGAACCTTCTTCGTTAACCAAGGTTGTTTCACCACAAATACCGATTATACGACCATCGTGAAGCATACAAGAAATCATACGATTTAACGAATCTGGCATAACCTCAGTATCAGCATCAACCATAAGAACATATTCATAAAAGCTTGGATTTACTCCTATTACATTTTTCATCTGATGATAAATCTCCAATTCAAGCGGTGACATTTCAAGTTCAAAATGAACTCTATTCAAGAATCTCATAAGTATGATTTGGGAGTCACGTTTTCCACGATTGCCAGGTCTGTTTTTTTCGGTTGGTTTTCCAACTTTGACGACTACTATATAAGGTACAACATGTCCTTCGTATTCGTAAAGACCGGAATAAACTTTTCCATAATTCAATTGTTGTGATGCTTCACCAATAGACTTAAATGCTAAGGGTTCTGGATCCATTTTAGGATCAACACCAAGAATATCTAAAACAATTCTTGGTGTTGGTCTATCGTTACCAGAACCAACAATCATACCATCCGCAATAAAGAAAAGTAATTTCCTTTTATCATCATATGTTAAAGCGGCTAATGAGTCCATCGTACGCTTAAGTGAATCCTCTCCTTCGGTGTAACAGGGTACCTGACAGATAACAAATTTATCATGATCTTCAGGCTTACGTCTTGCTCCCAACTGTAAAGCAGCCAAGAATTTTACGACGATAACAGAACACATTACGCAAGCAGCAACAAGCAAAACATAGTTATTGAATTGACATCGGAAAGTTTTTCGGAAATCAGTTTTACCGATATAAAAGACCTTATCCATACAATTCATCAATGAATTCAGTCTTGTTTTATCAAGCACATTTAAATAGGTTGTAATATCTTTTCCATTCATATTCTGGATTAACTTTTCGAGATCTTCTCCTTGTCTCTCTAACCAATGCCAATCGATAAATCCTGCAGCTTGTGTACTAGGATCAAGTTTTTGAGGTTGTTGTCGTTCTGTTTGTAGAGCAAAATAATCGGTGAAGTCATAAAGTTTATTTTTAACGGTGACTACAGTACGGCCCATTGAAATCAGATTCTGTAATTGTTTTGGGTCCCAGACAAGATCGGCTTTCACCATCAATCGCATTGTAGGAAGAAAAGTTTCAAAATACCAATTTGGATTTGTGAGTTTTGTGTTAGGAAGCGCTAATGCACCTGAAGTGTGGACAAACATAAAACCAGAAATCGGATCCGAAAGATTTTTATGTGCAATAGTGGTTTGATCATTAGTAACCATATCACCACATGTTTCTGGTGAGGCTAAGGGAATTGGAAATGATGGTGTAACATCCAAACCAGCATACATTTCCATGGCTGCCGGACCAGCAGCTTGGCTACTGCCCCCGGTGTGATCTCTCATATGAAATCTGCTGAGATCATATACAACACCCCTAACGCTGACCCAGAAATCATCATCACCTTTATGAAAAGCAACTTCATCTGCACTATATATTTTGTCAGTACCAGGGCAAAGCAGATTACCAAAGAAAATAATGTAGAAGATGACGAAGGCTGAAAGCATGAATATTATAAAGCAAAGTGTGAATTTTTCACGCCAAGCCATTCGTACGTCAGGACGTTTCATTTTTCCAATCCAGCTTAATAAGAATGAAGGAATCCACCAAGTAATTAACCATACGAATATAACCCAATATCTACGTGTTTTGGTAACAGGTAGTTCTTCGATTGCTTCTTTGTTTTCATTCCCTACGTTTTTTTCTTCTTTGAATTGATCACTAGGTGGAGAATGCCTATATCACATTAAAAAATATAACTTATTCACAAAAAGGTTCTAATGTAGCACATCTTAATACATTAAGTATCCAACTAAAAATTTACTCACCCATCACTTTTTCCATCCCATTCACTACCCCACATACTACCCTCTTCTTCTTCAGGATATGTCACACCACTATTCTTGGAATATTGAAAATCATCTTCACTTTCTGCATAAGACTCTTCATAATAACCTACTTCACTACCAGCATAAGCGAAACCACTTCTCGGTATTAACCGATCCACTGAACTTGTAGAACTAGGTAAATGTGCGTTTCGACCACCATCTAAAGGAATTCCACCGGCCACACTATCATCATCTTTAAATTGTTTAGTCTTTGCTCTTTCCTCTTTTTCAGCAGTTTTTAGAATATCTTCCAAATATTTCCAGACCGAATTAGATAAATAAACGTTTTGATGCCCAATAGCGTAACTACCATCCTCCCATCCATTACTCAAAGCAAATTCTTCAACTTTTTGACGAAGATTTCGAGAAGATTCCAAATTATGAGGTTGGATAATTGATTTATAACGATCCAAAAAATCAGCAAAATTATATTTAATGCTATATTCCACTCTTTTACGAGCAGCAATTTCAGGTATCAAGAAACTATGAACTTGAGATTTTACTCGTTTAGAATCATAAAGATTCGGATCATTATTATCACTGGGACGAAGTTGGAAAACATTCCACATTCGAGTAGAATTGAAAGTATCTATCAATTGATTTAATGTTCCATAAAGTTGAGTTGCGACAGTTGAAACATGAGCCATTGGCATCTTTTTTGGTTCTTTTTCATTTGAAGTATTATTATTTCTCTTTGATCTCTTCATACTTGGAGCACGCATTGGTTTAGTAGGTAATTGAGCGGCAACAACAGTTTTGTCGTTTTTTGGATGATTTTCAATTGCCAAAGCAGGACCGGAAAATAATTTTCTAATAAATGTATTATTAGTTTCTTTAAAGAGACTGATAACATCAGGAGATAAATTATCAATGTTCTTTTCAATGAATCTATCAACATCATAAAGAACCAAACCAGCAAAATGGTTAATTCCAAAAACACCAGATTTTGAAGAAGATTTCGAACCAGAAGGATTCGAAACAAAAGAATGATGACTAGAAAAGGCCTGTTTCAATGAAGCAAGAAGTGTTGAATCGCCGACAGTTTCAGTAGCATTTTGAAATTTAGCACTTTCAGAATCCAAGATTGAAATGAAACTACGAGGTTTTCCCTCAGAACCATTACCTCTTAATAATTCAACACAATGATTATTGTAGGTAACAGAAACATTTGGTAAAGGAACACCATCATTTATAATTTCAGCATTAGTACCAAAATTATCATCGAAAAGTCTTTTTAAAACGTAATTCTCAATTTCTTCAGTAGCAAAATTAAGACAGAATTGTTCAAAACCATTTTTTCCCGAATTTTGATAACCAGGTTGATCTAACAGACCGATGAAATTAGGAGGTTCATCTGATTGAATTAATTTTGAATTGATATGTTCAACTATCCAAGTAAATAAAATAGAATATAAAACTTGAGCTAAAGAATCTCTTTGATCAGCAGCAGCATCAGCGTCTAAGAAAATGGTACATAAGTCTTTGCCAATTAATTTATTCTTTAAAGTTAAAGTTTGTTCTAATTTGAAAGCCGGTACACCTAAATACTGAGCAGCCAAATCCAAGACATGACGATTCTTAATAGTAGCAGCTTCATCTTTTGCTTTACCAGGACCAATAAATTCAATATTACCCAATAATAAAATAGCAGTTAATATTTGCCAAATTTGAGTAACAGTTTTTGATTTGAAACCGAGAGCTTTAAGAGAAGCGCGTAAATCATCCATTTGTACACTATCATCCATACCAACAATCTTATAACATTTTGAACGAGATAAATAAAAATAATTTTGAGGATCTTGAAGATGCATTAGGGAACGTTCCTCAGGAGTAGCACCAGCCAATAAATAATAAAAAACGTGATAAGATCTTTCACCGAGAGGAGCATCAGTTACTCTTGCTTTATCGAAACAGTAAGTTAAAAACTTTGCACCAACAATTCTTCCTCTTTCACTAAATTGTAACTCTAGATACTTTCCGTAACGTGAAGCATTAATATTGTTTATTGATTTTGTGTTACCAAAGGCTTCTAAAATAGTTTGAGCATTTTGAATTTGATTAGCGATCTTTGCCTCTTTTTTTGTATGAGTTGAAAGTAGTAAAAGTTGTGATAAAAGGTGACTTTCGGTTACAGTCTTCCCTGAACCATTAATTCCACTAAAAAAAAAAAAAAAAAAATTAAGTATAAAAAATTAGTATAAAAATTGGATTGACGCGTAAATATTAAAATAGAATTCAATTAATGAAATAAAATAAATGTATAAACGCGTTTAATTAAAAAAAAAAGAAAAAAAATTGTAATAATAATATGAACAAACCTAAAAATTACACATTGGTCTTCAGCGGATCTTCTCATGTGAAAATAAACTTTAGCAGCTAACTCATAAATATGAGGTTGTAAATTTATCTTTTCACCAGTTGTATTTTTGTACCATTGCTCGGCATATTCTTTAGCCGAAGCGTCGTTCATGGATTCCAAAGGTTTATTAGGGTTTATCACCACAAGAGAGGAGTCATTAATACGAGTGTAAGGTAAGTCAGCTTTAAAACGTGCGGAAAGAAAAGAAATTATTTCCTCTTCTGATGGAGGTACATTATTAGCTGGTAAAAGCTGAACCAAGTCAACCCTGTCATCCGCCGGGGAAGAACCTGGGGAGCTGGAGGAACGACCCTTTTTTGTTTTACCCATTTTGATCAAGCAGTATTTATAAACTAATGATACCCCACCGAGTTAAATACTGCGACCTACGAAAAATTAATTAAATAATACTTTTTTTACTTTTTTTTTTTTTTTTTTTGTTTGTTTGTATATTTCGTTTTTTTTCTCAGATAGACTTGAAACCAACGGACTTTTTGCCGTTTTCTATCTAACTATTTAGAGATTTTAAACGAACTTTTTTTAAAAAAAATAATAATACAAAGGTATAAAAAGTGAAGGAGGGGGGGTGGGGGAAAGGGGGGAAAGAAAACGAGTAATAGATTTTGTTTGAGTAATGCGCAAGTAATAAATCTAATACATATGTGAATTCCAACAGATTATTTATTATATATTATGTTATATAGTTAGACATACATTTTAATGCAAAACCAAATGTACGACCAGGGTAGCATACTTTAATTCATACAAAAAGTGTATAGAAATTATGATAGAGTATGGATGTTACATGAACGTATGTATGTATGTACAGTTACTGTGTCGTAGAGAAAAAAAAATTAATACTAATTTTTTGGAACCAAAAATAAATCAAACTGCAAAAATAATCGGTAAATGGTAGCTTGTTTTATCATATCTAATATAGGCTGAAAAATAAAATTAAAAATGACTTCAAATAAATAAACCTTATCCGATTCGTTCAATTATTTGCACAACAGTGATGATTTTGTCGAGCCTTAGGTTCACACTGGTTTACTTCCTGTTTGAATTATTATATCAGATAATAACTTACCTGATCGAAGGCAGTTCAGACTTTATTCCATTTGTAACAGTCTAAAAATAGTAACGATAATAAATATATACATAGTTCATTATTAAATTCTTGTTTAGCCCTTTTTAAGAATCATACTAGATTTTGTTAATTTCGTATGATTATTCTGCTGCTTAAATCTATTTATAGTAATGAATTTCAAAATCATTTATTTATTTATTTATCGTATATTTATTTTAGGCGATATAGCAGATCAAAAAATAAATTTTGTCGATATTAAATATCCAAATATTAGTACGAATCGGTCATGTGGCGATTACGTTACAATCTTAAAAAACATCGTAATTATACGATTTTAAAAAAATTGAAGATTCAAGATTTCAAGATTGCATGCATTTAATGCTCATCCTATATTTTCGTTATCGATTCATTCGTACGTACTCTCATGATGGGCTAAGACATATTGAAACAAGGGACCATTCTTCTAATGATATTCCATTAGTAATGATGCATTCATGCAATGTATTGTTTCTTTTATGTTAGAGTACTAATTATACTACGTACGTACTTACTTGGCTGCTCGGATAATTTATTTTAAATACATATTTTGAATCTTTCTCGGCTCCAGCCACACTTGTCACGTGAGGTCCCATAACCCCGGATCATTCATATATTTTCTTGTACCCAAATATCATTAAAGTTAATCGAATCAGATTGTTTACTAAAATTAAATTCTTGGCTTAACTGATTAAATCGGTTTTGTCATCCAAATGGTAAACATATAACGAATTCGTGAAACAAGTTGGGTCGATTGAATGCATTTTTTTTGCTGAAATTTTACCTTACAGTTTTCACTAAATTATAAACAACGATAACAATAGGAGGTTGTGTTCCTAATTATTTTAATCCCGATACATACTAAATGTATGTCGTTTAATTTGGTTAAAAAAAAACTGATTATTTTGTAATTTTGTAATAGTGTAGATTTAATTATTCAAATATCAACCTTTTTACAGTAAGTCTATTAATAAAGTCTGCTATTTCGAGAGTTATTAGCAAATTTACCTGTCGAGAATATTTATATAAATTGGCTTTGAGCTTACTATTTAAAAATTTTAATTAAAGTATTTTTTTTCTGTAATTGGTTAGTATAAGCTATCCTAGAAAACTGATCCTATTTTAAATCTGGTAAATTTTGATTTAATTATATTTAGTGTTGCGACGAAAGAGTTACCCAAACTATCTGGGGCGTCCCAATCTACGTGATGAATAATATCACATTAGACATTTACTGCCTTATTGTTAGTGTTAAAATCGTGTGATATTATTTATCACATAGCCTCACATAGCCTGGGACGTTCCAAGTAGCCTGGGCAACTTCGCTAGTTGCAATTCTGAGATCGACTAATACTAGAAATTAATATATTTTAATAAAAAAATTTTTTAAAATTATTTGAAACGTAATTTTTTAATTTTTTTTTTAAAGAATTTAAATTTATTAAACTATTAATACATTAAATAATATATACAATTTTAGCATGTTTAAATAAAAACCAAATTTTGAGCATATGTTAAATCTGTGCTCTGTTTTGATCATATTATGATGATACCTAATCTGATCACAACCAGATTCGTGATTTGCTTTCTTTTAAGTTTTTCAAAAATAACTTGTGACCATCTACCTTCTGCATACTTATGGAGTTAAAATTTTGATCGATTCTAATTAAGCAGTCGTTAAAATATCTTTGCTCAATCTTAAAAAAGTTCAAAATATAGTATTTATTAAAAGAGTAATTATAGTAAAATTTTTTTTTTAACCCTTGGCATTTATGCCAATGCGTTATTTGGTATTTGTTAGTTGATACTAGTGTTCGAAGTTCAAGTTTAGTTTAATTAAATCTGAACTGAACTTTAAATTTTGCAGTTCTTTGAACTTGAACTGAACTTTGAATTTATAAATATAAATCTTTAAATAATGTTCAAGTTAATAATTTATATATATTTTTATGAATATTTCTATTTGTTACTACAGTACACCCTTTCAAAACCGATCCTGTCAAAACCGATAAACATGTTATAACGGATAAAAAATTGATCCACCATGTCTGTTCCATAATTCAAACCCGATAACCTGAAAAGTCCCAGCGTTACCAACAATCGAGGGCGCAGTCACATGATCTTCCGACACGATCAGCCAATAATAAGTCACA